GAGGAGAGTGGAGGAGAAGTGATGGCGGCGTGGCCATCCCCTGTGGGGGGTGATTTCTCGCTTTCTGTCTCTCTGTCTCTCTCTCTATCTTTCTGGCATGCACATGCGCCCTATAGCAAAAAGCTCTCCTAAATAAATAACAAATATTTAAAAATAAATAACAAATATTTAAAAATAAATAACAAACCATTGTTATCATTCACTCTATAAATACCAATAGTATCAGATTATATAAGAATTCGTAATCATGAGCAGGTTTAAGTTTTTCTTCATACTTTTCTTTCCTTAGGATTTTTGCTATAGGGTGAATACGCTTGCCAGAGAGAGAGAGAGAGAGAGAGGGAAAGTGAGCGATCACCCCCTGGAAAGATGGCCACGCTGAATTCCCTTCTCCTCCATTCTCTTCTTGGGATTCTGGACATACATGCACACGTGCACAGTCTGTTTATCAAGCCACTGGATCCAGGACTCAAACAACGGTCAGCCATGTTGGAGTTCAGCACCTTAACCACCATGCCACCTGTTGGCACCATAACTTTTTGCTATTAAGGAAGGTTATCCTTAGTCAAAAGACATGAGGAGAGATTCTTTAGTGTTTTTATACTTCAAGATAGATGAGATACTGTTAAAAAAAAAAGGCTTTTTTTTTTTTTCAATTTGCTATAGGCAACATACCTACAGAGAGAAAGTGAGAAAGCATCTCCCAGGAAGGATGGCCATGCCACAATCCCTTCACCTTCATTCTCCTCTTGGGATTTGGGGCACATGCACATGTGTGCACGTGCACACACGGCGTGCTTTTCAAGCTCCCAGATCTAGGCCTTGAACCGAGCGGTGAGCCATATGGGATGGAGCCGTCTTAACTACTTCGCTACCAGCTGGCCCATAAAATGTCTTATTCTCCATTATAAATATAAAGCTTTGGGGTCAGCAGACAACATGGCAGTTCTGTTGCTGGACTCCCACAGGGCTGACCATGGTTGGAATCCTGGTCGCTTGAAAAGCTCCTGGGAGTGAAATAATGATACCTTATGGGCAATGTCATTGGTACCTGTTTTTTGTGAAGATGTATCTTTAAAGATTTCTTTGATCATGACCGTAAGAGTCCAGAGGCAGGGTAGTACTTCACCACGCTGAGAGTATTCAGAAAGCTTATTCTGGCAAAAAGCAATCCAGGAATTGCTTAATGTTACCTACGAATGAGAGAATGTTTTTAAAAAGCAGTTATCATATAAAAGGATTTTCTTTAGAATCATGAGTTACCTACTGCACACAACTCTACACAACATTTTTCCTCATTTGTCCCCAAAAAGTAAATTTGGTAAGATGGAAGAAAAAGATCCTAATATTCTTTTTTTATTGTTCTTTCAGTTTTTGCTATAAGGCAAGGGTACTTTCCAGAAAGTGTCAGAAAGAGAAAGTGAGAAATCTCACACACGCCCGGGGGGGGGATGGTCACACCTCAATCCCTTTTCCTCCATTCTCCTCTGGGGATTTTGAACACACATTCACACGGGCCTGGTGTGCTTTTCAAACCACCTAGTCCGGGACTTGAACTCCGCAGTTAGCCATGTGGGATCCAGCTACCTTAATCACCATACTACTAGCTGGCCCTCATCCTAATTATTCTTTAAGTCAAGAAATTTAATACCACTGGTACAAAGGATTAAAAGGAAACCCAAAAATACTAGTAGTGTTATGTCTACATGGTGGGATGATATATTTTTATTTATACCTTGTTCTACTTTGTATGTTATTATTATTTATTTATTTTAGAGAGATTTTTTTTTTTTTTTTTTTTTTTACAGTGTGTGTGTGCTCACCAGAAAGACAGAGAGAGACAGAGAGACAGAAAGTGAGAAGTCACCCCCCAGGGGGATGGTCACGCCGCAATCCCTTCTCCTCCATTCTCCTCTCGGGATCTTGGGCACGCACGCACACGCGCCCAAGCGTGAGTTTAAGCCACCAGGTCCAGGACTCGAACTGCAGTCGACTACACGGGAATCCAGTGACACAGTCATTACGCCAACTGCTGGTCCCCATTATCAGGTTTTTAAAAATCTGAACAGAGAGGGCCAACAGACAGCATACTAGTTATGTCACTGGACTTCTCCATGACCGACCGCAGCTCAAGTCCTGAACCTGGTGGCTTAAAACTCATGCTGGGCATGTGTGCATGCCCAAGATCCCAGGAGGAGAATGGAGAAGAAAGGATTGTAGCATGGCCATCCCCCTGGTGGGGGATTTTCACTTTCCCTCTCACTGTCTCTGTTCCTCTCTCCAGTGAGTATACATGTTCTAAGACAAAAAAACTCTAAAAATAAAAAATAAAATTTGAACAGAGAGAGATAGAAAGGGAAAGTGAAAAACAAGCTGTCAGGTCTGGGACTCGAACTGCAGTCAATAACGTAAGAGTCCAGCACTTTAACCAGTACGCCACCTGCCAGCCCTTCTCCTTTGGGAACTTAAAGAAAGATATGAGGACCAGAATATGGCGTAATGGTTACATTGCTAGACTCTCACACAGTGGACTGCAGTTCAAGCCCTGGCCCTGGTGGCTTAAAAATCACGGTAGACATGTGTGCATATGTGCCCAAAACCCCAAGAGGAGAATGGAGGAGAATGGACTGCAGCGTGGCCATCCCTCGGGGGGTGATTTCTTGCTTTCTGTACATCTCTCTGGTGAATGCGCATGCCCTATAGCAAAAATCTCTTCAAAAAAAATGAAAAAGATGGAACCAGCAGGTGGCGTGGTGGCTAAGGTGCTGGAATTCCCACATGGTCAAATGTGGTTCGAATTCTGGACCTGACTGCTTGCTTTCTCACTCATCCTCTGTCTTTCTCTGGCCAGATTCACGTGAAAATAATAATAATAATACATAAATAAATCATTCTTACAAAAATAAAAAAGAAAGGTATGGACACTCTCGAATGCGAAACCCACCTCTTGGGTTAACAATCTGATTTAGTGTGATTTACAACATATTTAAGACCGTAACCCTGACAGACCCCCCACGGTGTTAGTCCATTCTTACACTACTGTGGATTTTCACATGGTATTATACGAGCAAATATTTGATGACTACAAATATTTGAAGGGTAAATGAAATGCCAAAGAGCACGTTGAAAGAATGCAGAACAGAAAAATCATAACGTGATTTGATCATTCATCTCACCTTTTCCCTCAATTGGAAATAGAGAAGGAACGCAAGACACTTGGCCGCCATGTGAGACAGCAGTCTATCCGGATCTTGGAACATACGAATCTATAGGAAAACAAATACATGCAAATACTATGACCGTGTTTATTTTTTTTTTCAAATTGTTTTTTTTGGAGAGGTTTTTTGCTATAGGGTGCGTTCGCTCGCCAGAAAGATGGAGAGAAACAGAGACAGAAAGCAAGAAATCACCCCCCAGGGGGGATGGCCACGCCATAGTCCCTTCTCCTCTGAGGATCTTGGGCACGCACACACACGTGCCCGGAGTGAGTCTAAGCCACTGGGTCTGGGACTCGAACTGCTGTCGGCTACATGGAAGTCCAGCGACATAGCCATTATGCCAACTACTGGTTCCATACCATGTGTTTTTGTTTTTGCCATAGGGCATGCGTGCTCACTGGAGAGAGAGACAGACAGAGGGAAAGTGAGAAATCACCTCCCAAGGGAAGCTGGCCATGCCACAATCCCTTCTCCCTCATTCTCCTCTGTGGATTTTGTGCACGCATTCATGCACACCCAGGGTGATCTTTAAGCCACTGGGTCTAGGATTCGAAGCATGGTCAGCCATGTGTGGGGGAGTCTAGCACTTTAACCACCACGCCACCTGCTGGTTCTATTACTGGATATTTTAAAAGCTTTGATTTGAAATATCTAGATCCTTAAAAAGACAAAGAACCCAACAACAAATGGCTTACTAAAGTAGACTCGATGCCAGATGACTCTAGAAGAATCTCAAGTATGTTTCTGTATTTCTCCTTGGTGCAGAGCTCCGTCTCGGCAGACAGTACCCGGGTCACCATCACCTGGATCACGGTTAACTGCAGGAGTGTCACTTCTCGGGCACTGCTCCTCTGAGGGGCGCTCTCCGAACACACAGGAGCTGTGGAAAGGGGAGCCACGCTGACGGTGTGTGGCTGATGGCTGCGCTGGTGGCCAGGAGTGCCTGCCTGTTCTAAGGAGGCGGGGGTGGCGCCATCGTGATCTGATGAGGCTGGGTTAAGGTAAAAGACGTACTCAAGGCCGTCATGTTCAAGTGCACGTCCGAGGACTACTGTTGTGTATAACTGGTCTACAACTTCACGGAATGTGTCCATGTTGATTTCCGGAAGGTATCTTACAAGAAGGTTGACAATGCCAGGGCAGATATTATCATCTGAGGAATGCAACGCGTTGCCATGATGTTTCACCAGTGAGCCCTAAAAGAGGAAAAAACATTAAATGATGAACGTGTCATACATATTACAAAAGAAAGGCAACCAATAACCATTTCCGCTTTTTTTTTGTGTGTGTGCGCGTGTGCCCCAGAGTGCGCATGCTCACCAGAGAGAGATAGAGAGAGAGGGTGAGACGGATGGCCATGCCGCAATCCCTTCTCCTCCATTCTCCTCTCGGGATCTTGGGCATGCTCGCACACGCGCCCGGTGTGAGTTTAAGCCACTGGATCCGGGACTTGAACCGCGGTCGACTACATGGGAGTCCAGCGACATAGCCATTACCCTAACTGCTGGTCCCTGTTCCTGGGATCTTGGCATGCACAGGTCTGGGACTCCATCTACGGTCAGCCATGTGGGAGTCCAGTGCCTCGACCACTACGCCACCTGCTGGCCCCTCTACTTACTCTTACTGTTATAATAGTAACACTGATTGCTTAATTTCTAAATGGAAAATTTATAAAGAACATTTTTTTTTTTGAGAGGTTTTTGCTATAGGGTTCATGTGCTCTCCAGAAAGACAGAGAGAGACAGAGAGACAGAAAGTGAGAAATCACCCCCCAGGGGGATGGCCACGCCGCAATCCCTTCTCCTCCATTCTCCTCTCGGGATCTTGGGCACACACGCACATGCGCCCGGCGTGAGTTTAAGCCACCAGGTCCGGGACTTGAACCACAGTTGACTACAAGGGAGTCCAGCGACATAGCCATTATGCCAACTGCTGGTCCCAAGAACATTATTCTTTAATTATTATCGCTTGCTATGTGGCATGTGCATTTGCTGGAGACAGAGGTGGGGGAGCGAGAAAACACCCCGTGGGGGATGGCCATCCACTCTCCTCTCGAGATTTTGGTCAGCTACTCAAACTTGTCTGGTGTGTTTTTCAGGCAGCTGGCCACATGAGATCCAGCCACCTTAACCACCAAGCCGCGAAGGCTGGCCCAAGGGACATTATTTTAAAACCACTGACAATGAAATTTACGCTTTCCATATACTTTAGGAACATAAAATGACTTTTCACTTTTTTTTTTTTTTTTAGAGAGATTTCTGCTATAGGGTGTGTGCACTCGCTAGAGAGACGGAGAGACAGAAAGTGAGAAATCGCCCCCTGGGGGGGGTGACCACGCCACAATCCCTTCTCCATTTTCCTCCTGGGATTTCAGACATGCACGCACATGCACCCAGCGTGAGTTTCAAGTTGCTGGGTGCGGGACTCAAACCGTGCTCAACTATGTGGGAGTCCAGCGACATAACCATTACACCAACTGCTGGTCACATGAGTTTTCATTTTAATCAGAGCTAAATCTTCAGTCATCCTCTGAGACTTTTCAGTGAGCTGTCAGGGCTTCTCAACCTTATACCAAAGTCTTGAATTTGGTTGGCCATATGGGAATCTAACACCTTAACTGCTACGTCACTTGCTGGTCCTTGTTTGTTCTGGCTTCTGTTTGTTTTTTAAGATAACTTCTATTGTTTTTTGTTTGTTTGTTTGTTTTTGTCTTAGGGTGTGCGTCTCTCACTGGAGAGAGAGACAGGAGTGAGATATGACCGCGGGGGGCAGGGATGGCCATGCACCATCCCTGCTCCTCCATTCTCCTGAGGTTTTGGACACGCAGGTGCGCACGCATGCACCGGTGTGAGTTGCAAGCTACCAGGTCCAGGACTTGAACTGCAGTCAGCCATGTGGGAGTCCAGTGATGTAACCACTATGCCATCCGTTGGCCCCAAGATAACCTCTACCTTTAAATCCAGAATATAGGGGCCAGCTCCATGGCCTGGTGGTTCATGCAGGTGAGTCTCACGTGGCCCACCCTGCGCTTTGCGTTCCGGAATCAGTGGCTTGAGGAACATGCCGGGTTTGTGTGCATGCCTGCCCCGAACCCTGACAGGCTGGAGAAAACGGAAGAGAAGGGATTGTGACCTGTCCCTTCCCCATACTGGTAGTCTTTCCCTGTCCCTCTCTCTGTTACATCCGTGTGCCCTCTGGGAAGGAAAAATCCAGAACACAGAAAAAAATCTATCCTTATAGCCAGTAGTATGAAAATTAAAAATTGACATTTCGTTATATGACTTGGCTACCTGTAGTCTGCTAAGAGACCGGGGCATCATTATTAGCCTGGAGGTTCATTCAACCACAGGTTCAAATCTGACCGTAGCCCGAGAGGTTACTTAACCCAGTCTGCCCCATTAACACAGATACCGAGGGGCTTAAAACATGGATCAAGGCCGTCCAAAACAAGGCTCCCTTCTGGGACTCTGGTTCCCTTCTTCAATCCAAAGAGAATTAACTTTGCCAGGAAAAACAGAGTCTGGTTAGACTCTTCAGGAGCATCTCCTTCCTCTATTAAAAAAGGACGGATTTGATAAATATTACATATATATATATGTGTGTGTGTTTAAAAACACATATATAAACACATAAATACACACACATACACATATATGAATTATAAATATATATTCCTATATATATATATTTCAATAGATTTTTGCCATAGGGTGCATGCACTCACAGAGAGAGGTGAAAGTGAGAAATCACCCCCCTCCAGGGGGGATGGCCATGCCACAATTCCTTCTCCTCCGTTTTTCCTCTTGGGATTCTGGGCACACACATGTGGCATAATTTCCAAGCTGCCAGGTCTGGGACTCGAATTGCAGTCCACCGCGTGGGAGTCCAGCACCTTAAATACCACGCCACCTGGTGGCTGGGAGGATGGAGGCTATCTTCCCAGCAGCTGCTCCATGCTGGGGATCCGCCCTTAGTCCTGCCTGGCTCTGTTCTTCCACCTTTCCAGTGCCTGACAGGCCACTCCAGGTGAGGAAGACACCTCTCTGAAGCTTTAGGAAGTGCGGCTTTAGGTAGGAAGTACAGCTCCCTTTATCTTTAAGCCCAGAGGGGTTACTGGCAGTTACTGGCAGGGAGGAAGGAGGGTTACACCACTCCTTACCGATTTCACTAAAACAACCTTGCTCAAACTTCCGCTGGCACCGGCACCCTAGAAAGGCTTGTCAAATCGGATGGCAGGGCCCTCAGCTGGGAGCTTCAGGTAAGGTGGCTCTGGGGTCCGGCTCCCTGACCTGTATCCCTACCAAGTTCGCAGGTTTCTGCGTGAGACACTGAGAGCCCACAAACCTCATCGAATGTTCGCGAACTGTCTTCCAATGAAACGCTTGTTCGCAGCCGGTGCTGGCCAGGAACGTATGTGCGTGTTTTCACATGAACAAAAGCGTGGCGATCGCGTTATAGATAAAAAAAAAATGTCATGGGAACCAGCAGTTAGCGTAATGGCTATGTCGCTGGACTCCCCCGTAGTCGACCGCGGTTTGTGTCCTGGACGCGGTGGCTTAAAACTCACGCCGGGCGCGTGTGCGTGCGTGCCCAAGATCCCGAGAGGAGGATGGAGGAGAAGGGATTGCAGTGTGGCCATCCCCCCTGGGGGGTGATTTCTCGCTTTCTGTCTTTATGTCTCTGTCTGTCTGGCGAGCACACACGCCCTACAGTGAAAATCTCTCCAAAAAAAAAAAAAAAAGTCATGATCCCTCATGGCTGGCTAAGCAGTTTGGATCCTGGACCAGGAAATTTTGAAAAACACATCAGGTGGGGCCAGCAGGTGGCGTGGTGGTGAAGGTGCTGGACAAGCCCACATGGCCGACCATGGTTCGAGTCCAGGACGTGGTGGCTTGCTTTCTCACTTTCCTTCTCTCTCTCTCTCTCTGTCTTTCTCTAGTGAAAATAAATGAATGAACCCATAAAATTAAATAAATAATTCTTTAAAAACACACATACACACACGGGACCAGCAGTTGGCGTAATAGCTATTTCGCTGGACTCCCATGTAGTTGACCACGGTTTGAGTCTCGGACCCAGTGTCTTACACTCACGCTGGGCACGTGTGTGTGCTCAGGATCCCAAGAGGAGAATGGAGGAGAAGGGATTGCGGGGTGGCCATCCCCCCATGGGGTGATTTTTCGCTTTCTGTCTCTCTGGTGAGCGCATGCATCCTATAGCTATAAAAAAAAAAAAAAAAAAAAAAAAAAAGCAAACACACACACACACACACCCACCAGGCATGTGTATATGCATGCCCCAAATCTCAAGAGAATGAAGAAGAGACTGCTGCGTGGCCATCTTTCTTGGGAGGTGCTAGTTATTTCTTTTTAAAATTTTTTTAGAATTATTTTATTTGACTTCCTTCCTTCTTAACTAGAGAGAGAGAGAGAGAGAGAGAGAGAGAGCGAGCAAGCAGCCAGGTCCAGACCTTGAACTGCAGTCAGCCATGTGGAAGCCCAGTGCCTTAACCACCACGCCCCCTCACTTTCCCTCTCTCTGTCTCTCACCAGCGAGTGCATGTGCCCTACTCCAAATAGAAAAATACGAAAACGAAACAACAGAACTAATGGATAATGGGACTTTGAATGAGGGCCAGGGGATGGTCTTAAAGACTGTGAACAGTGCAAATGCCAGAGGTCACGTTCACCTGAGCCACTGACCACTCGACTGGGGTGAGTGGTCACAGTGCACTTCTACCTGGGCAGGTGCGGGTACCCAGTGCAGAGCTGGCGGACAGCTCCATGAAGAGCTGATTCCGGTTTGGAACCAGCAGTTAGCATAATGACTGTGTCACTGGATTCCCATGTGGTTGACCACGGTTCACGTCCCAGACCCAGTGGCTTAAACTCATGCCAGGTGCATGTGCGTGCGTGCCCAAGATCCCGAGAGGAGAATGGAGGAGAAGGGATTGCGGTGTGGCCATCCCCCCTGGGGGGTGATTTCTTGCTTTCTGTCTCACTGTCTCTCTCTCTCTCTGTCTGGCGAGTGCAAGCGCCCTACAGCAAAAACCTCTCCAAAAAAAAAAAAAAGAGCTGGTTCTGGTTTGGACAAGCAGCGAGTGGTAGTTCTGTTCTCAGAAGCCTGGAATACTGGAAGGATTGTGGCATGAAGCATAAACCTAATTGAGGAACAATAGCCACACGGTCTCTCTCCC